TTCGTTGAAAACTGCACAGAGGCTCTCAGCTACAAAACAATTAGCTACAACCTGTTTTTGGTGAGATTAAGGCAAATTTAATTTAATAACTTAATCATGTAAGGTTTATCCATTTTCCTTAATAAGGTATTCATTTCTTTAATGTACATAAATATATAACTTTACTTTAAAAGGAATTGTAGGATCATCATTTAGATCCACATCAGATTATGAGCTTAAACAAAATTCATATTCTGAGATCGAACTTTTAGATATACATGTAAATGGTGTTTCCTAGTTAATATCTTGAATTCTTAATAAATTTATTTTTCTTTTGATTGAAACTTTGAAAGTCAAGCCTATCATCTTTTTGTAGTTCTTAAATATCGTCCAGATCATTAATAAAGCAGTATAGCCACGGTGTTTTACTTTTTACCTGTGCAGGTTACAACATACAAATTACAATTAGGATGGTAGAAATAGTTGTTACAAATAGGCCAAGGAGTCGGAGTCGGAGTCGGAGTCGGAAGCATAAAAATTTGAGGAGTCGGAGTCGGAGTCGGAGTCGAAGGTTTTGTCTTCGACTCCACAGCCCTGTTATTTACGCCATACCATGGCCCAGCTGCTCAACGCTACAGACGGAGAAAATAAACCAACGATCTGAGAATATTAGCGCGGCTTCAACATTTTTCATGCAATTGACAACATTAGCAAGGCATGGGAAAAGGTTTCAGAAAGTTGCCTGAATGGTGTGTGGCATAAATTGTAACCCGAGTGCGTCAACAGTTTTACGGGATTCATGGACTTAGTCCGAGTTGTGAATAGGGATATCCTCAGCTTGGCTAGGCAGGCAGGTTTGATGAGCTGGGATCAGAGGATATTGAGGACGTCCTGGCATCCCATACAGAAGAGATCACCAACGAAGATCTGCAACAACTAACAGAACACAGTCCAATTGAAGACGACGACAACGAAGAAGAACCTCAACGAACGCCAACTTCTAAGAGGATGGCAGAATTGTAGAACATGTTACAGCAAGCAATGCAAATCCTTCTAGATGACGACCCAAACAGAGAACGTAGCTCAAAGGTTCAATGCATCATTGCTGACAGTCTTGGTTGTTACACTGAGATGTATAAGGAGGAGATGAGTAGCACCAAGTAGTCAAAGCTGGATTAATTTTTTCGTCGCAGGACGGCAGAAGCAGCTTCTTCACAACAGCCCAGGCGGCAGCTGATGAGCAAACATCAACGGAGGAGGAGCCCCAGTCAGAGCAAGAGGAGGAGAAGGTAGCCGCAGTCTCAGTGACTCACCACCCTCCTCCGCTCCCACCCACCTCCTCCTTCGCTCCACTACCCACCACACACTCACTCTACCACCTCTGCCCAACGGTGAGTACCAATACAAACTTAGTACAGTACTGTAGTTTTATATACTGTATATATACTATTTTCTATAGAAATGGCAATGATTTTCTGTATATATAATGTTTTTCATGGGGCAAAGGGAGGCTGGGGAACGTAACTCCCGTATTTTATCTATTTCTTATGGGGAAAATCGATCCGCTTAACTTTGTTTTGCATAACGTCGCATTTTCGGATACGTAACCCCGATATTAAGTGAGGACACCCTGTATACAGTGAACCCTCACTTTACGCGGTTAATTCAACCCACGGCGGCCCGCATAAAGTGAGAAACGCGTAAAGTGAACAACATAACATATGGGATTAATTGAAATAGAGACCAGGCCCACCCCCAAACTCCACTTTTTCAGACACAATACCTACGTTGTAGTAAAAATAACTTCTTAATTTTATGATGGTATGCACACACAATTAATAATTAAGAGAAATATCAATAATATTAGGTTCTTTAACACTTACATAAGTAGAAAAGATGGCTGGGCACACGGGGATGGGGGGTTGGTTCCGAGGCAGAGGGGAGATTATTGGCCCTCACCTGTACCACTTGTATCACTATCCACCACAGAGGCTTTCAGGGCCTCTTTGTCAAACCCCTCAAAGTCCATATAAGTCTATATCCTCACTATCATTATCACTGACTTGGGCCAGCTGTGGTGGGTGGCGGGTGAAGAACTCAGTAATGTTTTGATGACTGGGTGAACTTGTGCGCACCCTGCTCGCGCCGCTTACACAACATGGCGGATGGCGGGAGGTTTGGATCCAAAAATGGCGCGGCTCGCCAGCTGCTCTCCGCATAAAGGGGTACACACACCGCGGAATGTGAGCATTCCAGTTTCGGCAGGGTACCGCATAAACGTGGAAACGCGGAATGTGGGACTGCGTAAAGCGAGGGTTGACTGTACTGTATTGTATAACAAGAATAAAGAGTATTTAATATAAAAATATTTATTCTATTAACATTTACAATAACAAAGGTATTATAAAATTATACAAATATAAACATCTTCCTGAAAAATCTTATCTTTTGACACCTTGATAAGTTGACAGTAAGCCGAAGGTCAACCAGACTACAGTATATGTCCATATTTTGGTAACAACAGATCTTGGGGTATGTGAGTGAGAAGAGGTGAAAATGGACAGGGCTGCTGAGATGCAAAAACACTGCATCAAATGGTGATTATGCCAAAGACACTGAGGTTTTCAGGGTGTTTAAATATTTTCAGAAACAATAAGATCGCCCTGTAATAAGTGTGGTGGAAGTCTTGGTTGATTCTATTCTATTCTAACCCAATTTATGGTAAAACTGGCTCACCAGCTGTCTTTGTATATAATTATTACATACTGTATTCAATTAAATAATTAACATGTACTGCACAATAAAGCCTTAAGTGAGTTCGATCTAAGCATTTCCATGAAACATGTAATACAATTTTAGATCAAATACTTGATACATGCAACCTTAGTTCTATACAATGCAATATAATGAACTATAAATTTAGAATAAATGTACATAAATTATGAACAAGTTTTCTACTGTAAATTTAAATGAGGAAAAGAACGTAAGAATTATTATTTATTTTTCATATTCCCATTGTGTAGAAAAGTTTCACTTAAGGAAAATGGCTGTAGGGCGGTCCAGAGTATATGGTGTCTCTCCCCGCCAAAATAAAGTGACATACATTCCAGATTATGAGAGCTGTGATATGATACATAAATTATTAAGTAAATGACAGAATCAATGAAAATTATGGTAGTTTTGTAATGATCACCGTGAAGGGCTGTAACAGGTCACGTAAGCCTCTTACAACATGGGTGCTCCCCTCCCCTTAGGCTAAGGAATACAACCTCCTCTTCCCATGAGGATCCTAATTAGCACAAGTTCAATGTACAGTACACGATGTTCTACAAGGATGGAGCCCCCATGTAAAAAATTAAGTCTACTGCTACTTTACAGTTCAGATCATTTCGTTCTGACAGTAAAGATATATTGTCTTCATGACACTGAGAATGATCATATGAGAAATGTGTTTTGAAGCTTTTCCTGCAATTCAAAATTTCACAGGAGCAGAGATTAAGTACTTTTCATACAATCTCTGCAGTAAAATTCATTTAAAATAATTCTCAAATTTCCTTTTAAAAAAAAAACAATTAGATATTGCTAAGAACAAAATACCCAGCAGTCTTAATTATCCTTTCTAATTATACTGGTAAATTATGGTAACAACAGAGCCTAAGTCAATAAAATGTGCACAGTACAGGCAAACCCATTTATTCATAGCCTCGGTATTCGTAACCCCGTTTATCTACAATCAATTTATTGTTACCCATTTCCACTATTCGCAATGGTTGCCCCGTTTATTCACAAATTCTTACGAGCAAAATCTTTGAACCGCGCGCCTCAACCGTAGCGCTTCCACTCGCCTCAGTCTCACACGTGCTGGCGTGTGTAAAATGTAATCTCGCAGTTGTGTTTTGTGTGATCTCGCAATGCCTAAGCGACCAGCTACTAAAACTCCCAGTAATGTTGCTAAGAGATCACATGTGGCAGTTACGCTGGACGTGAAATTGGATATCGTAAAAAGACATGAACACGGGGAAGGACCGTCAGTGATTGGGCGCATGCATGGCTTGGCTCCCTCTACTGTGCATTCTATAGTTAAAAGTGCCGACAAGATCAAGGAGATGGCCAGGTCTGCAACACCACTGACGGCTACGAAGGTGACTAGGTTTCATGATGCTGAGATAGAGAGTATGGAGTGGATGTTGAGCACGTGGATTGACGACCAGACCCAGCGACTCACAACACCTTTATCGCAACGCATGATTCAACAGAAGGCAGTGGAGAAAAACAGATTACAGTGCAAATTGATAGCGATAATGAGCGAGGTGGCCGTCGACCCTGGCAGTGAGGAGGCTGACGACCACAGCTTCCTCTCACCCCAATAAACCTTCACCCTCTCCCCTAATGCCAACTTCAGCAAGCAAGCAACACAGCACATCAGAGATAAATTAACAGTCTACGTTTAAAACTTACCTCACACACCTACGCACATAAACATTCAAACATGTAAAGTACCCCTGTATACTGTACTAGTAAACATATATGCCTAATAAACTCAAAGTGTTTGTTATTGATGTTTATTTGATATTATACCCTTAGTTTCTTTATCTCTTTTATGTTCTATATGTATTGAGTAAAACAAGTGTTAAAATCTGACGGCCGTGATGCCCGTATCCCCCCTATTTACATTGTTTCTTATGGGAGAAATTGCTCCGCTATTCGCAATTTCGATATTTCATGCTCGTAACCTTTGCGATAAGTGAGGCAGCCCTATACTGTACATGAGACAGAGATATGTGTATAATATACAGTACAGTCTCTCCTCGACTTATGACAACCCGGACATACGACGGCTATGGTCGTATAAAATATTTTTCACATTACGTATTTTCGAGTCCCGACGTTAGTGATCGTGCTGTGTACTGAAAATTTTTTCGTTTGCAATTCCCTTTAAAATGGCTGGCAAGCGTAAAAGTGAGAGTTCTCGTGGAGCTGAGAAGAAAAAGAGACACCCATTTTAGAATTTCTATGTATTATTTTCTCCTTTTCGACTTACGACCTGGTCGTTGGGATGGAACCCCGCCGTAAGTCGAAGAGAGACTGTACTGTATTTTCATAAATTCATCTACAGAGCTTCCAGAAAATAAACTGAACTAATTACACAGATATTCAGAAACAGGTGCCAGGATATGTTTACATGGAGGAACTGTGCAACATAAAAACAGAACACAGGTCCTGTCCCTATCGAGAGTTTCCCCAGAACACACCAAATCTGTCCTTCAGTTACAGCACTTAAACTACTGTACACTGGTTTCAATACATAACTTACAAAAATACAAGCTCCATAAATGTATCAGTTCATCTTCTACTGTTACAAGCTCTGCTGCGTCAAAACCCAGACAATACTCCATAAGAAATATTTCATTTGGAGATTATCATTAAACTTCCATTAAAATATAGAAAATTCCATGAGAATCCCCATTATCAATTGAGTTTCACCCAGGTATCCAACTGATAATTAATGAGAAGGGAACTGCACTCAAGACATGAGGAACACAGTACAGTGACCAAGAAGAAGGGCTCTTGTATGGGGAATCACAGTTAACCAAAAGGCAACAACAGCCATGACCACAGTAAAATTCTAAACCTGATATCTATTATACAATTCCATCCCTGGCATAACTGACTAAATTAAAATCATTATGGGAATTAATTACACTAGTGATAAAAACTCTTAATACCGACTCTTAAAAAGCAATTGACATCACTTTCAGTCTTCACTACCACAAGGACAACTAGTGTGTCACAAATTTCTTTATACCTCATAAACAAGTGTGAGTTTTCAAATATTGTATATACTGTACTGTACTTGAGAAGATTCATCAGCTCCCAAAAGATATACCAGACACTTGACTAAGAAACACAAGCAGAAGGTATATTGTATATTATATATTAATTGAAGCTCTTATTGAAAGATTTCTTCCCCAATTCGTAAATTTTGTTCATCTAAACTTACTGTCTAATACAGTATTTAGATTTTTGAAACCAGAATGAATTAATCAGACACTTCATCTACCACAACTTCAATAAAATATAAATGTCTTTAACAGATGGACTGTTGAGTAGCAACCCTGAGCTATATGAGGTGACAGAGATAAACCGTATGATGTTTGGGGTCACTGTTGTGAAGAGGGAACACCAGAGCAGAGCACAGCTACAACAGGTCATGTTGTTCTTCATTCTGGTCACCCTGAAAGACAATGAGAAAGTGCTTAGAAAAAATATCTTTGTTAAGTACTGTATCATCTAACTCAATATAGTATATCACCAAAATCAACATCATTCTTTAATGTTATTAATCATTTCATCCAACAGTTGATAACAATATTTAACCACCACAAGCAAACAATCATAGGCAGTGAGTAATTTGCAGTAGAAAAGTAATTAAAATAATTGAGATGTCATTTGGACAAATAATTATAGATATGAAACTGCAGACAACAGATCCTTAATCTGCATGTTCAGGAGTACATATAAAGTATGCTCTCGATTTAACAGAATCCGATATAACAAACTCTCAATTTAGCAGAAGGTCTTTTTTCCGTTATTTTTCATTTGATTTAGTGAACTAGTTCGGTAAATCGAGATCAATTCCGTAAATACGCTCACACCTATGGAGACATCTCAGACACATGATATGTACATAAAACCATTAGAAACATTATTCATGGCTTAACTTAAGCTAGGGAGGTTCAGTGTTTGTTTTCAATTTTTTCTATTATTTCCAATTGATAGCCGTACTCTTTTGACTTTCTCCCCCAAACCACTTCCTTTCTGAGACTTCTGAGAGACTTTCGGCATGATGGCTAAGCACCGAGAGGTAGCAGTGAACAACACACGCGGTGGCAGCAGGACACAGACTGAGCGGAGGTAAACAAACCCCATGCGCCAAGTGGCACATTTGACTCAAAATTTAACGGAATCACACTCGATTTAGTGAACTAGCTCACTAAGGGGTGGCTGGAAATAGTTTGTTAAATCGAGAATATACTGTACAGATGCTCCTCTACTTAACGTTCAACTTACAAACTTTCAGAGATACAAACATCATCACTGAAGGGGATTACCTGCCAGAACAGATGTTTAATGTGGATGAGACTGGATTATTTTGAAGAAAATTCCAGATAGAACAAACATTACCTAAGAGAAGAGTGAGCCAGGTTTTAAGGCTGTATTAAAAGGTATAGCTGTACTAAATATCCATAATCTTTATATTTTTTACAATATGTTTGGCATCTACAAGAGTAAAGTTGGACTTACAAACAAGCCTCAGGAACGTAACGCGTTGGTAAGTAGAGGAGCACCTGTACAGGGTATTGAGAATTTGAACAAAATCGGTAAAATCAAGATTATGTCCCCCCCCCCTTAGTGCCGAAAACACTTTTTCTCTCAGAAATGAAATTCAATGTGTCTAACTACTAAAGTACATCCAAAATAACACAAACACAAAAAAGTGACATTGAAAAACCATAGGCGGCATTAGAAAAGTAATTAAAATATCTGAGATGTAATTTGACAAGTAATTATACAGATATCAAACTGTGGATAACGGATACTTAATCAGCGTATTCAGGAGTACATATATAGTGAATTTTAGGCCCAAAAGAGTTTTTCCTCTCAGAATTCAAATTTAATGTGTCCAACTACTTAAGTACATCCCAACTAAAAAATTAACTTGAAAAACCATAGGCAGCGTGAAATTAGTGTTAGAATAGTATTTAAAATATGTGAACTGTCATTTGGACAATTATGCAGATATCAAACTGCGGACAATAGATCGTTAATCAGCATGTTCAGGAGTATATTCATTAAGAATTTTAACAAAATCGATAAAATCAAGATAATGGCCAAATATTATAACTATAAAATATATCCATTTCCTCAGGAGGGAATAACAAAATTAACTTACCTAAGTTTAAACCGTGACCAAATCACTTACTATTCACCTTAAACCTAAGGAACAATAAAATAAATACTGTACACTACTACTTACTAGTAATAAACTCAATGTATCAGGAAGATAATTATGAGTATAGAAGTGAAATAGTTTGTGGACCTTAAGTGTACCTAGGGTTCTTGGTGATGATCTTCAATGTACAGTACCTGAGGTTCTTGTGGCCGCTCCACTACTGACCTCTACTGTCACCGAGATTTGTGTTGTGGTCTTGACTGTCACTGGAGTTCTTGTGGTCAGTGCTGTCATTAGGGTTCTTGTCAATATTGATTTTCACTCCTTTTCTTCTGTTTGTTGTTGATTTTCATTACCACTGGGGTTCATGTGGACACTGTTAATCTCTACTGACACTGGGGGTCTTGCTGACGTTGAGCTATTATTTCCCAGGGCTTCCTTTAGCTGCTGTTTCTGGTGAAGCTTGTCCAGGAACTTATTAATATCTATCTTTATGGGTAATTTCTTGGCTTTTTTGCTTTTTACCTAAAACATTAAATAAATAAATAAATAACATTCGATCAAGGCGGGGGAAAAATATTGATTCTTTTTATATATGAATAAATCTTATATATACACTGATATAGAATTTTCTAGGTAAATCTTTTTCTTCACATTTTTGTTTTGGAAATTAATATATCGACCTTGTCATCTGGTGTTATAACTGAACAATAAATGGAGTTTGCAGAGTGGGCATGTGTGGTAACAACACTTCCATCCTTCACACTCAATGACAACTATCACTCCAAGTGTCTTTTATAAAAATCTGGTATACAGTTTTTGGAAAGGATAAACTAACCTTTAATTCATTTTAAAAAATCTAGTTCCAACCAACATACACTTGAACCCTACTAATTCAGCCTCCACTAAATCTAATGTACCGTACTGGCTAATTGGTACGTTTTTTCACATAGGCGAAGCATCTGAAATTTTGAACAGTTTCTGACCAATTGTACAAATTATTCAAAGTTTGTACAAAATCTACCTACACAGTCCAAGTGGTCAGCATGTAGGAATAGGCAGTTTACCCTTGTGTGGGCCTACTAGGATACCAATTCATACATTCTAATCACACTTCTTGTATACCTTCCTGTTAACAATACAAATCTTAATCTTTGTCTCTTTTTAATCTTAACTCCACTCCATTTTCAGTGATAATTCGTAATAGTCAGATCTACACCTATCAATTTTTTTGGGAAAATTGCAATTTAAAAAAACATTAACTTGGTAAACATTAGTGCTGGCATAATACAGTACCATACAGTGCTTTTCCATGATACAACCAGCCTAGCAACGAGATGGTAACATATATGAGTATCTAGGTGATAGCCCTAGCTATGTCTACAAAAAATACAGTACTGTAGCTAGTTCCACAGATGTATACACTACATAAATATTATTAGTGTTAGTATAACTTCACATCACTAGCTGTGAGTTAAGTGAAAAAAAAAATTGTTTTATTGGGACTTACACACCCATCTGTATTTTCCATAACAACATGAGCCTACAAAGAAACCTGAACATCACAACGTAAAATCTGGCTGAATACATAAATAACATTCTTTTAGCATTACTCCACGTGTACGATTTGAATGTTATGTCAAGAAAAATAATGTTTTACATATTGTTTCATCAATATTGACTGTAACAGCTATTTGACCTATGTTAGCTCAAAAATTATACATGGCACAAAAATGGCAATTGGCCACCCTCAGCATTTGTAACTTTATTGCTAAAAAATTAAAAAATTACAGTTTACATATTTTACAGTTACAATAATTCACTGTCTACAAATTTTTTTTTGTTCCTCCCCCCAAAATAATTGTATTTTAGAAAAACATGTAACCTTACAATTAATCAGTACCAATTATACAAACTGAATTATCTCTTACTGTTTTGGGTACATATACAATCTTCTTGCGCTTCTTAAAAGGGAGCGCAGCCGGCATTTGCATGGAAGCATCAGTAGAGTTGACACCGCTGGCTGAGGTTATGGCTGGGGCTGGAGGAACATAGAGGTGTTTCCCAGGGGTGGGTGGTATTGAACACATGCTGTTTGTACTGTTTACACTATCTTCACTTATGTGCAAACTGTGTACCTGTTGTATAAGAAGACATTATATGCAAGTGTTACAGATGTAGAAAGTGAGGGATTATTTAACCTCTACCTTAAATTCAACTCACCCCTACAACCCTTTTCTCACTTACAATGAAATTTTTTTTTAACCACTGCTGAAATAAGGCTGATAAAGAGAACCAAAGAATTATGTATAATTACTAAAGTCATACATTGGACAGTGAACGTTGAAGATGATCAGCTGTGTGACAAGTGAACTGGATGACCTTTCAAAGGGCCTACTAAGTCTTAATATTCACCAGATCCCAGCCCTTAGAAGCCCCAACATAAATATTTTAAGACAGGTACACACTCCGAATGGATCCCGGGCATTATGGGGTTTAGTCTTAATAGTCTCTAATCCAACTGGCTATGATAGACTTAGGTAAGACTATTAGTACTGAAACTGGTACAGAACTCACATCCAGTTGATGCCGGTAGTTTGCCATTATTGCCAGCTGCTTCTCAGGACTGTGTGCAATTTCTAAGCTTCCTCCACTGAACAACACATTGGCCATCTGTCTTGCTTGTCTCTGTCTGTAAACATACCAAAATTCAGGAAAAAAATGAAGATGTTTCTGTACTGAATAAGAGGCCAAAAACTGTCCATGAAGTGCAACAAAGAGTACTCACAAACAGTCAGTCATCCTCACCTTGTTAAGATTTAGTCAGAGACACACCTAAATATATAAGCTATCTCAGTCCTAACCCTATTTTCTCCATAAGCCGTTATTTCTATTGAACGAATTTCTACAACGCGAGGTTTTACAAAAACACAACGAGCGTGTTGTAGCAGAACTGACTGTACTTCTAGGTGATGTTTACGTAAGGACCGTTCTCCGCCACATCCATGACGACCTGCAGTTTCGTAGCCACCGAGCACACAAGAAATCACTCCTCACCCTTGCCCAGAGGCAGCGTAGGGTTGCTTTGGCCAAGGCTAATGCTCAGTGGGATACGACCAAGTGGCAGCAAGTGCTGTGGAGTGACGAGGCAACGTTTTCCGTTACTGGAAATCGTTCTTTTACTGTAATGTGTACAGGCGCCCGGGAGTGATTCGCTTGACCTCAAGTTCACTTTCAATACTGATAAGCATCCCGAGTCACTAATGGTGTGGGGTCGCTTCTCGTACTTTGGAACTGGTGATCTTGTTGTGCTACCTAGGAATGTGATGATGAACCAATTTAACTACTTGGAGCTGCTTTGGATTATTTGCCCGGGTCTTTTGAAAAATGCCTCGCTGATGTGTTTATGCAGGATGGTGCCCCATGTCACACAGCAAAACCTGTAATACAGTGGCTTGTTGACTGTCAGGTAGACTTCATAAGTGATTGGCCAAGCAATTTGCCTGACTTTAATCCGAAAGAAAATATGTGGAGCATCATCATGCGTCGTCTACAAGGCAAGGACACAAGTACCGTCCCCAAGCTGGAGGTAGCCATTCGTGAGGAGTGGAATAATTTAGACCCACAAATAATCCACAATTTGGCAGTCAGTTCCGTCACGCCTGCAGGAGTGTATCAAGAGGAAAGGAAGGCCTATAGAAGTTTGGTAAGTTCTAAGATTAATTTTTTATTAAAATTTCATCTTGTTGTTTATGTCCGTCACAGCCCCACGCATAATGCAATAGCGAGGAGTATAATAGAAGCTGAAAACCTTCGATTATGCCAAGTGTACAATGCAGAGGAAACTGGACTCTATTGGAGAGCTTTACCAGAAAATGCACAAGTCTCTAGAAGTGAAAAAAGTTTGCCTGGTAGGAATGAGTCTGCAATGCTGTGTGCAAATACTGATGGGAACCATATGCTTACACCTGTGGTTGCAGGAAAAAGCATGAAACCTCGTGCAATCAAGGACATTATGCACAGGCTTCCTGTCCACTACTGTAACTCCAAGAATGCATGGTTTACAGGAGCCATAACACCAGACTGGTTTTACAAACATGCTGTGGTGGAGATCATGCATAAGCAAGTGGAAGATCTGAACCTCCCTGCAGATGAAGTGAAGACTATCATCCTCTTAGATAATGCTCCTTCACATCTCAACACTGTGTAGCAGGGACAGAAGGATCAGGTGCCACCCAACACCACCTGTCATACAGCCAATGGATCAAGGTGTAATTTATGATGAGAAAAGGCTGTACAAATGCAAGTTTTGGATGAAGTGATGGTGGTGGAAAAGGCAAGTGAGGATCAGGTGGAGGACACAAGAGGGCAGAAGACCCTCAGAAACTTGAAGTTGTACAGCTTCAGGTCCATGCTTTCTAATTTTGCTGCTGCTGCCAAAGAAGTCAAGGCAACAACCCTCACCAATGCCTGAATGAAGCTCCTTTATGACATTGATGAGGAGCATGATTTTGAGGGCTTCAAATTAGACGATTGCCACCGAACCCTTCTTGAAGCAGGAGAGAAGGATGCTACAGTTGAGGATGTGGAGGCTCGGCTGGAGGCTGATGAGGATGATCCTGGATACCACAACTCGAAAGAGGAGGAGACTGTGGACTCTGTACATAAAACTACAGACTTTTTTTGATGATGATGATGAAGAAAAGGAAGATGAACCACCAAAAATAAAGCTGCCAGAAGGTAGAGACTGCCTGGACACCATTATAGAATTTACTCATCAGACTAAAAATTATAAAATTGGGGCCTATTACGATCACTCAAGGCACTCGAGGGAACTTGTCATACATGAGCAAAGAAGCAAGGTCACTCAAACAAAGATCGACACTTTTATCAAGCCAAAACCCTCCAGCAGTGCCTCCTTGCCCTTACTATCTTCCTCCTTGGCTGAGGTTCCTCTTCCTATCCTTATTTCTGACTCAGACTGAGAGTGACTGCAGGCCTCTTGCAGTCAGAGGCATTTCCAGCTGGATCTGCCTTCCATTTTTTTGGGGTAGGTGTACAGTATTTTGTGTACATTATTATTTTTTAATTATTTTTTATTAAAAAACACGTATTTCTTTCATAAAAATTGGATACATTGGTGTTGTACTCGTTATTTGTTTAAAATGGAATCTTTTTTTTTTTATTTGCTCTACGGCAGACAACCTCTTTTCCCAGACACCCCCTCCCTCCAATTAGTCCACCTTAGCGAAGTTTTACTGTATACTGCAATTTTTATATTTCACAGCCTCTTGGTTTAGGCGGTGCATACTGTTTTAAATGCATTCTTTGCTTACTCATCCAGTCATTCACTCTATACACATACAGCATCCCAGTCCCAATACTTATTAGGACAATGCCATGCCATTAATCAGAATAACAATAAATGAGACCTGTTAAGTTAGTGTTTTATGAATAAACACTTTTCATTGCCACATGAGAAACTTCCATAAATTGCTGTTTATGTATTCTATCAGTTTTAACATACCTTCCACAGCCAAATTCCTCTTCAAGTTCCCTCGAAGGTTCTGATTCAATCAAGTAACTACCGGGTCCTCTTCTTGACAGTTCACACCCACCCTCAGTTCCTTGTATTTTATCCAAGCTATTTCCTGTCTCCTTGTTGTGAAGCTCTTGTGCCATCTGAGGAGTACTGACAGCCACTGGAGTGACCTTGGGTACTGAAGAGCAATTAAGAATGCCGGGTACGGAATACTGGGGTCTGGCGAAAGGTGACCCATTAGAGGTATAACCCTGGGGCAAGTAGACCAGAGACGGGTCACAGTGCGGGGTTGGGGAAGAGTCACACCATCTAGGAGACTCGGAGATCTGGAGACGTCCAGGACTGGCACTTGACAATGAGCTGGCACTACGTTCACTGACGCTTCCTGCAGCTTCAAATTACACAAGTAATTAATGTAATAATAATAATTCTAAACTCTTAATGAAGAAAAAAAAAATGATGGACTGGTTAAAAGTAAGTTATCATAAGTGTGATGTCAATAATTATTTCATTTCATATACTGTATAGGGTAAGATTCAATAACCCTGGAAACACATACACGGGTTATATTCAACATGCTCTGTGAAGACAAAAGAAGACAGTAAGATACCTGTGCACAGCAACACCTCTCGCCTCAATGAATCACCTTCAGACCCAGTCACCTTCTCAAGCAAGTTATGAACACTGCCTTCAAGCTCATCCACCAGCCTCCAGATGAAAAATAAACATCTTTTTACTACATTACCACAAACTTGTTTATCAACGACATCTACCGAGTTTTAATTATCAAATGGTTGAGAGAAATTACTGTCAAAGGTTTATGTCAGAGAAAAATTCTGATACCTCACTGTATTATCAATCAATTTATATCTTTGAGAAAATGCAAGACCATGGTACTGTATTACTGTACTGTACTGTACACCAAAGAAGAAAAAAGAAGAGGGAAAAATATACTGTATATATATCTTTGTGAATCAGTTATGTCGGGAGAAAATGTAAAATTTAAAAAAATTTCCAGTCAAATACTGTACACAAGTTCTCACACCTTATCCACATTTAATTACTATAATTTTTTAATTGATCATTGCAGTTTATATCTTTTACTTGTTTGTAAAGGCATAAACTGATTCACAAGTAAATATACTGATGTAAAAGGTGTTTGTTTTGGATCACCCAATACTATACAGTTCTGAATCAAAGTAAGAATATAACTCACAGAGAGTTTTTTTCTTTTCTGCTTGTTGTCCCATCTCCCTTTTGCTCCCCAAATTTTCCTCTCTTGGCTTTGCTCTTGCTTGACAGTTCCCCGGCTTGCTTGGCATATTTTTCAACCTCTCCGATTCTAATTGGCTGAATCCTGCGCCTCGTCTTCTGTGGGCCTTGGCTACATTCTTCTTCCATTATTACTCCTGTCAGGCCTTTAGAGGAATCATCTTCCCTAACTCTCTTCCGAGAGCTCAGTTGGGTTACATCATTAGTACTTGATACATTAATTTGCTCTACATTAACAAGATTGCCAGTCCTGCTCAAATCTTCATGCATTAACACCATCTTTTCTGGGTTTTCTAAAGGAGTTCTACATTCCATCTGTGATATACTTCTCTTAATTCCATCTGCATTATTCATCTTCTGGCTTGACTTTTTATTTAAGTTATTTGCTTCCGTTTGATATTTTGGTGCTTGTCTTGCCTTGCCTTTCCTCGAACCTTTATCTTCTTTACATCTCGGTACAGTGTCTTTTAAAGGTTTTCTTCTTTGACGAGGTTTTGTAGGTGTTGTTGTCCTCTTACCGCTCGGTTTCTTGGCTTCTAAGTTCAAGGTAAGCAAGTCAATGAAAGGTGTCAGCCTGAGAGTCAGTATGTCTGTCCAGTCATTACTGTCATTTTCATTCTCCGATGGCACTTCTATCCTTAAAACATCACTATCTTCCTCTTCCTCTCCTAATTTGGTTTCAATAACCTCTTCACTGGGTTTTATAAAAGCTTCTTCTCCACTGTACTCCCCCAAATTAACAGATTTTTCTTCACTAGTTAGTTTTTGGGCATCAATACCCACTTCTCCTGTATTTGTGTTTCTGGGTTCTTTCACACAATGGGGAACTAAGTCGTATGAATGGCTACAACTGTCAAAGTATTCATCTTTTCTGGGTTCTACATCTTTTACACCCCCATTATCATCATCTATGTGTTTTTGGGCTTTCAGTGTCAGCTTTAAATTTTCATTGTCTTCATGATGGCTACATTGTACAGGGTTTTGTTCATGACCGTGTTCCCTCCACTCACACACACTAAGTGACTCGCTGCTCTGCAATATTTTATTGCCACTTTCTTGCGATGTTCTATTGCCACTTTCTTGCAAAGTTCCATTGCCGCTCTCTTGCAGTGCTTTACTCCCAACAATAGTTTGATGTTCTCCACTAGTACCTTCAAATTCAGAATTTTTGTTCTCAGTGTTACAGAATTCTATCACTTTTTCAGAAACTTCAGTTGTATTTACATTACATTCACCTGCCGTGAAAGCTGGAGGACTGTTTTTCTCCAGATTTTCAGTGGAATAAGTTTTTTCTGGCACATGTGAAGCACCTGTTTCATTAATATCTTTGGGCAAGTTCCTAACTTCTGCATCATCTGTCGAACGTGATTTTTCAGAGTGTTTATTTTCTGTTTGCAGAGAATTATTTTTCCTTGATGTTCGTGTAGTATTCAAACTAATATTACTCTCAACTCTTTCAATATTTGTTGTTAATAAATCCTCACAGTTCTTAGGTTCAGGTGATGAAGTGCAAGTTTGTTTTGTTGGGGACATGTTTGTGAATGATGGAATAGCAACCAAGGCCTTCTTTTTTCTAACTATAGAATGGCAAATTTGGCCCATTTTCTTCTCTGGCGTTAGAGGAAGAGGCTTATATGTTATCAAGCAATTCTTCTCTGAAGCTTCCCAAAGATCACCAGTACTCTCGACTGACCTGGGTGATAAGTAATCAATGTTACCGCCTTCTGAAGATGACTTACTGAAGGGTAAATCATTTACTTTGTTAGTCTGTTCAACTGCTGACTTTTTACATGTACCTGAATGTTCATCATAACTACTGGTATTTATGAAACCTGAGTCTGCAGATTCAATTTTTTTTTCAATTACTGAGAGATTTTTGTCATTTAATATTGATGATATGGAAGCTGCAGACACTAATGCAATGCCACGATTGTCCTTGGCACAAAGAGTTATTGTTTCACTTTCAAAGTTACTGACTCTATCACATAAGTCAGTGTCTGCTTCATCTATGTTCTCTTTATCCAAGACAGTTGTCTCCCTAACATCTTGGACATTTCCAGGAGATTGATATATACTTGTAGTTGAAACAATCTTCTTAATCAAATCATCTTGGGAGGTCAACTGGCTTGCAGTTAAAGGAACTTGATTCTTGGAGGACATTGAGTTTTTCACTGCAACTGAAGACTGGATGCTCTCAAGGTCAGGGGGTAATTCTGAAAAATAAATTAATATACAGTATAAATCAAGCAAAAATCTCCATAAAAAAAGGTCTTAAATATATAAATAATGCATAGAACAAGAGCACTTCAAACATACACACTACACCCATCGACCCTGCCCATCACCTGTGACTTCAAAATGAATGGATATCAGTGCATCCTTAAGGAACAATCCAAAGAAAATTCTATTGAATGCAAGATGTATAGAACACAAATAATCATACAGACAACAAAATATTTACAAGCTGACTCACAATACCTATCATAAAGACTACAGAAAAAAGTATGTACAGTACAGTAGATATTAATGAGCTTACCTCCAGTGTGTGGTGTAGTACTAACAGCCTTTCCATTTTTTGAACGTTTTGGTGTAACATTTTGTATCTCGCCAAGATCTTTGGCGTCGAAGCGGTGATGGCAACAACCTTCTTCAGACGTACTCTTCATAAAAGTAATTGTTCGAGCACATCCAGAAGATTCGCACGTCCACAACTTGCTGTCTTTGATAAACTCTGGTCGGACAGTTAAATGCTCAGGTGTGTTCTGACGCAAAACATTTCCAGGACTCTCGTCTTCGGTATCAGTAATGTTGACGTCAGAATGAGACAAATGAAATGCCATGCTATTTGACCAGCGAGCTTTGAGGTCATCAGATGTCAAAGAGCTTTTTACTTTGGAAATATTATTTTTCAAACCCACCCCCCAACAGGTAAATGGAGTCGTGCACTCTTTGGTCTGGGGACTTGCAGATTCTTTGAGAGAGCCGTCTTCAAAATGTTCATTGTCTTTCTCAGATACTTCTGGCACCTTTTCAACAATTTCTGAAGACACATGAACTTCAGCAACATGCAATAATTTTGAATCATTTCCTATGTCTGAAGAATGAGGAGCATCATTTGCAAAGCTACTAGTTTCAGCTCTGGTGTTCTCAATGGTGGTAGATCTTAACCTCTGTTTACTTTTTTTCAAAGCTTTAGATTTGTGCATTTCACCAATTACTTTGTTATCAACTGCAACTCCTTGTTGTACTGCTTTGGGGAGAGTGTTAACATTAACCAATATGGCCTCCACCACTACTTCCGTTATATCTATAGTTTCACGAGCTTTCCCTCTACCTCTGGTTGATGTCTGTTTTTGGGATGCTTGACCACCTCTTTTGACCTTGCTTGTCTGAGCTCCAAATGACATTTTTCTTGACACACCAAGAGAGGTTTTGAAGGGTTCACTCTCATACCTTGATGGCTGTTGTCGTCTTCTGGACCCTCGACTCCTCTTGTTACTGTGATCTTTTCTCTTGTGTTCCTCTATCATGTTCTCTTCCAATATATCATTATCACTTACTACTGTGGCTTCTGTTCTTTTGTTTCTCTGAGTTCCAGAGTCTGATTCATCTGTAAAGCTGACATCAGAGCCAAAAATATCAGAGAAACATGTCGTCTTTGAGGAAAAAGAAGTACCGGTATCTTTTTCACAAACTTTGTCTAAAGAATTTGTACTGTATGTCTCGGAAATGGTATTCTTTACTCTCTCATTCAAAGAAGAATCATTAACATCTTGTATTTTGCCTCTCGATGTACTTCTTAACTCTGAATCAGAGTCACTACACACAGGGGATACTGAAGATACAATATGTAAATTACAAATGGAAGCTGAATCAGACTCTTGGAGTTTTGTTTTTCGATGTGCATCACTTTGTTCATTACCATTATCTACACTCAAAACACAGACATTTCTAGGGTTTTCTGAGGATAAATTTAACTGTTCTTTCATTGAATCATTACTTTGTTCCACACCTTTATTTACAGACTTCTCAGCTGCCTTCAACCCATATTTACGTCTTTTTCTCTGGTGCTGAGTTTTGCTCGTTACTCCACAATTATCACGTTTTTCTGTAACCTCCTTTGGTGAGGACCGCAGAATTTTTTCCTCATCAGTCACTTTCCTACTCCTTTTCCTTCCCTTCTGAACACTTTGCTTATTATTATTAGCTATTTTTGTAGTCTCTGTAATACTGGAGGCAGAAAGATCATCCTTTGCAGCACCAACTTTCCCTTTTCGTTTTTTAGTCTTCTTTTTCACCACAGGTACATCATCTCTGGGTTTAGGTATTCGAGTCACACTTTGAATCTTGGATTTTCTTTCGTCAACCCTATCGTCACCTTCATCCTCTGAACATGCAAACTCCACAAGCTTTTGGTACTTCTTTGAGGGAACTCTTTTTCGCTTTCCCTGCTTACCCTCTGTGGGATCAGTAACCTTAATCTCACTTTTGTCTGAAAATTTACCTTTTTTTGATGAATGTTTACTAACTCTATTAGAATTTTTGACCTGGACATTAGAATCTTGACTTTTGGCTTCCCCTGTAAACAACTTTACCATCTCTTGCTCAATTACTTCCCCCATCACTTTCCTTGACATTCTACCAGGACTTTTGTGAACACCAGACTCAACTTTCTTACATACAGGGTTGCTAGATACAAGGCTCACATTAGAACTAAGCTCTTCTATTAATGATTGTTCCAACACAGTTTCTAGTCTAGACGGGGAGTATCCTTCAGAGTCGGTCGTTATGGAGCGTTCTGACGGCATGTAGTATGAAGTGCCGACTGAACTGTTTGAATATGGTCCGTGAGGATAATCTTTGATATGTGGAGATTTATCAGCTGGTGTTTGGGGTGGCACTGGAAGGAATGGTGTATTAAGGTCCTCATCTTGCTGAGGAACAGATCCACGCTCGCTGGCAATAAATGGAGTTGTGGGCTCCAGGCACATTGGAGTCATGGGCATTCCTGTACCAAAGTTGGATAATGACAATTCACCAGCTTTACAAGGGGTCTTCAGTTGCTTTGTTTTAGCCGTACATGATTGATCAAACACTTGAGATGAACAAATGTTATCCGAGCGTATATTTGTTGATGTAGCTAATAAACCCCAATTTTGCATGTCACCATCCTGTTCATGGCTCACTTCTTTAGACTGGATCTGTGTAAGATCTCCAAGGCTGCTAGTTTCTTTGGACAAATCAAAGAGTTCTATGCTGCCTGCCTCTGTGGCAAGAGTGTCAATACTTGAACAAATGCTATCATCGTCCTCGATACGTAAGATCAGATTCTCCTCATCCTCATAATCTAATCGACTATCATTCTGTTGGTCAAGTAAATGTAGTGTGTCATTCACAGACCAGAGAGAATTATTTTTCAATATTTCATCATCAGTGGTGCAATTTGAGTTAATTATTTTTTCTTCTGATCTACATAAAGAAAAACACTTGTTTTTTGGTGACATCTTAGTCCTTACAGGTTTATTAACATGGTTCACTTCTTCCTCAGCTTCATCATCCTTAAACTCTGATTCAATTTCTTCTAAAATCTTTTTCATCGCTTTCTTTTTTGGTGAGTGAAAGCTTGAAGGTCTGGATATATTAGTTAATGGTGATTTTATTTTCTTCTTCCTTGTAGATCGTTTATTGACTGGCGGCGAAAACTTTAAGCATGCCATTGCCTTTCGTGGAGACCGACCAGGTGTTCTCTGTTTCTGTGGTGTGCTGAAATCCAACACTCTAATATGACTGTTCTTGTGGCTTGGAGTACTCTGGCTGCCTCTCTTGGGAACACTTCTAATACTGGGGCTCTCATGTGAACTCATCCTTCTTCTTGCAACAAATTTCTTTGATGGAGAAATACTCTGAGAAAGCTGCAGAAGAGCTTTCAGCTTTGGAGATCTGCCGATATTAAGTTTAGTGGATGATGACTTCTGGCAATCATTATCTCCAGTTAGTAAAGCAAGCATATTTTGTTTTGTCTTTTGTTTCTGGTTCTCAGTGATAGAATTATCTACAGTGGAGCTTGCTGTTGTCACTTGTGCATTCAAAACTTTATCTTCCTCTTGTCTGATCTTCAAGGATGTTTGTTCACTGGTTGCATTCTCACCCTGGGTTGCTATCTCACCCTGGGTTGCTATCTCACCCTGGGTTGCTATCTCACCCTGGGTTGCTATCTCACCCTGGGTTGCTATCTCACCCTGTGATTCTTGATGTATTGGTAACACTTCACTGTCATTCTCAATAACTGGTAGAGATTTTTTCAGTGACTGTCTTGAAGGAGATGACTCAGTACCTGTGGATTGTGATACATTTACTGAGGCCGAGTGATCTGATTTTGTACTACCATTTGGCAATTTAGTATCTTTGCTTGGGGTTACAGAATTGATGGCAAAGGAAAAGGCTGTTGCAATTAAATCGTTGTTTAATACAGCTTCTTCCATTTCTTTTTGCATTCGTTTTGTTCGCTTTCCAGTTCTCCCAACTCCCCGTTTTTTTATCCTGGTCACATCAATCGCCCTTCCTTGAGATTTCTTATTAGCCTTCGTTTTTTTTGCCTTGTTTGTTTCATCTGATTTTCTGTCAGGCGCAAAAGAGTTCTTGTTGTCACTGATGCTCGGCATGGAAAAGCTCACTTTATTGGCTAGGGTGTAAGTAACAGCTCCTTCTGCAGTGGCAACTGAAACAGAAGAATGACACAATTAAAACCTCAAAATTCTTCCAAATAAAAGTTCAGTCGTATATTCAGTTCAGAGGCACAGTACAGTGGGAAGGCCAAAGTCGTTTCAAAACTTTTAAAACTTAATTGTCAACACCATTCTACAAACCTATTACCCCCTGTACAGTATTTGAAAACCCCCAAGGAATGATTGAAACAGTTGGGGTCAATGTCGCAATAAGTTTGTAGATAGTGAAAAGAAAGGGCTAAGAGAACATGTAGAAACATTCTACTCATAATACTAAAGTCACATACACAATGAACCTCTGAGGAGAAGGTCACAAAAGCAGAACCTCCAGACTACTCTTATCATGACATATTTATTTTGCATTCTACTCCCCATACTCCTTCCCCCTTGAGTTCAAGATATATACATTATATATATGTTAACCCACAAACAAAAAAGCACTGTCCCATGCCAAAATTAGCAAAGGATCAGACAAGTGAATCACCTAACAATAATGAGAGATATAACAGTAGAAAGCTCAAGTGAATATGAAGAGTAAAAGTATCTTACCAACTGTCGCTGCAGGCTGAAGGTTGGAAGGATCTTCCTTAGGAGCAATGAGTACGGGTGTTCTTTGCCATCCTGAAACACAAGGTATAATTTGTTAAAGTTACTCCTCTACCACTTTTGATTGATATGGATCAAAGGGAACAAAAACCTCAAGAAAATTCTCTCTCTCTCTTGAGGTTTTTGGAAAATAATACAAAACAAATGTTTTAGAAAGTAAAAGAAAAGGAAATCCTACAATAAATAAAGCAATATATTACCTACTGAGATTATGACAACATTCTGGCATAGAGATATGTAAAAATGCAACAACATCGCTTCTCTTAGTGTCAGCATCACCACACATTTACCAGTGACAAATAAAAATCCTCTAGACTGCCTCCATCCCTCACTCATAATGTTACAGACACAGTACTCAATAAGGTGTCAATCACACCAACAGTTTGATTAAAACAGTTTCAATTAATAACAAAGTACTTGCAGAGGTTTACAGTACATACTTAAGCCTTAATTAGTATATACAGTAATAAAGTTACAGCTTGAGTGGTATACAAATGAATAAGCTCACAGAGAGAAACTAAACACATCTCTGACTGGTTCATCACTGACACTGATAGCCATTCCTAAACCTTGGGCAATCACATGGCCAGTCTTTCTTGGCAGAATTGTATCCATTTTAGCACAATGAAATGTGCAATCAACTCAGTTTAACTATACTGTGCAGGTATCCCTCACTATTCGAATGTTCACTACCAAAAATTATATTGTTACACCTCTTTCTCATCATCCAAACGTGATATCACTTATACAAAAAATGATAAGGCCCTTACTCAGCACACCCAGTGGTGACCCCTCACTGCCCTTACATATGGTAATGTTCCATCAGTATACATACAGTATTTTATTTAGTTTAGCAATTTGTTAGGGACTGTAATTTTTTTTTTTGCCATAAAACTTTTTTCTTTGTTCATTAATAATTTTTTTTAAGTACTGTATAATATGAGAGATTTCTTGTCGCTTGGAAACTGATCCCTACTTTTCCCATTTATTATATTATTTGTTATCCAAAGATTTGATATCCCAATGGCTTTCCAGGAGACTAACCCATTCAGAAAGTGAGGGATGCTTGTACCCTGTACTAATTGGTGTACTGTACAGGACATACATAAACAAGAAATGTTTATGAACACACTGATACTGTACCACTGTAATCGTATATGGAGTAGTATTTTCGATAAAACTTATAAATTTATTCTGTGGTGAATGTTACACACTCTGGAACAAGTGTCTGCCCCATGCAGTTCAAGTATGAACTGGGAGGTGAGAAAGAATGGCAAAAATTTGTTAAATGCACCAGAATTTCCACTGCTTTGGACCACCTAATATAATGACCAATATGGTAAAGTGGCCCATTATTGCATACAGTATGTTTAGATATACAGTGCAGGGGGGTCTCCATTATTCTTAGGGGTTACATATTAAAACAACAAAGAATACCGAGAAGGCTATTCGTGGCCAATTTTTCCCTATTAAAATCAATAGACTAAGGGGGGTTAAATTCCTATCCATTATCTGTCTTAAGAAAGAATGTTATAAGGCTATGTCCTTATTTGTTGCTGCTGTACCCTATGATGTTTTAACAAAGGATAATTACAGTGACCCCTCGGTTAACGAACTCAATCCTTTCCAGAAGGTCGTTCGTTAACCGAAAAGTTCGTTAACCGAAAAGTTCGTTAACCGAAACCATTGTTTCAATGGGTTTTTGAGTAATTGGTTCCAGCTCACCGAAAATTTCCTAAATTCAACAAAAATGGTAGAAAAGTTCACTTACTTTGAGGTGTGTATGTAGAAGGCTCCTGGATGATGATGATGATGATGATGGGATTTAGAATGGGGGTGGAGGAGAAGGAAGAGGAGAAGGCATTGGGGTGGAAGAGAAGTCACCCCATGGCGCCATTTCACCCATAAAATTTTAGCTCTCTTGGTGAAATTCAAGATTATTTTCTTTAAATCAACACTGCACTGCATTATATATTGTCAATATGTAAAATATATTTCAAAATGACCAATAATTTGCTTGGAAACAGAAAAAAAGCGTTTAGTTGAAGAGAGTCTCAAGCAAGATGTTACCTCCAGTGAAAACAGAGAGAGACTAACGCCTGTTTGCTGTGTTAAGAGGCTGGATGCCGCGCATTAAACTAGTCACTTTACCTTCATTTATGTTCAATAATTGTTAAAATGACTAAAAAATTGAATATTAAACTTTTAAAATTATTGAATAGTATAAACTTCTTGATATTTACTAAAATAGTAAGGAATTTAAGCCCTAGAACCGATTAATGTATTGGCGGACTGATACTAAAGCTGGTTGCCCGGTCAGTGCAAGCGAAAACATGTTGAGGTCGGTTCGTAAGAAATTCGTTAACCGAATTTTTGTTCGTTAACCAAATTGAAGATCCTTATGGAAGGCAGTTCGTTAACCGAAATTTCGTTAACCGAGGCGTTCGTTAAACGAGGGTCACTGTAGTACTAATTACCTTTACAATCAAATGTTTTACCTTTTCATTCCCTCCAACGCACAGTTTTTATCTGATGTCACCGCGGTTGCTGGAGGATCGACTTTCTTCACACTTCATCTTTCCAACATTCGTGGCCTGAGATCCAATCTTTCTTCTGTGAAGCACCATCTATTAACTTTTTTCCCCAATCTCTTACTATTATCCGAACTTCAGCTGTCCAAGGTGGCTCCACCCAAACCTTCCCAAGTCTCCAACTACTGTATAATCTTCATACCTCTTTCCATTCAGTAGATTTGGCTTCCTGTGTACCACCGGCAAGGCAGTGGGCTCGCAACACTCGTCTAACCCGTAGTGCCCACCGTTTTTGTGTGGGTGTCGGGCCCACTAGAATATCCCGTTACAGTAGCTCCTCTCCTCAAACAGCCAAACTGTGGAATGTTTTGTCTTGTTCTGTCTTTTCATCCTCTTACAACCTGTCTCGCTTTATGCTATAAAACTGGTCTTCCACCATCTTAGTGGTGTAGAATAACATCCCCTTTTCCTCTCTAATTAATTTTTTTCCTTTGCTTTTTTACGCCCCATTGTGGGTCGGTGACTTGTGTCCGGGTAGGCTATCCCCCATAAAAAAAGTCAAAATGGGAAACAACGGATAAAGAGGAGACAAACAACGGAGACTCCCAGCACAAGTGAACTAACTGTGGTACATAAATTAATGGAGTGGAAATACTGTACTGGGAGAACAGGAAACAAAATAATAATCAAAAGTGTGTAATATTCTGAGCTGGATGGTACAAAAGAGAAGGGAAACATTGAGGTAGTGAAAGTGGTGGTAATGGCAGAAGCAGTGAAGTAAGTGTACATAAACAGTGGTTGAGAATGGAGGAGCTGATGGTGACCACAGCTCCTCCATAAAGAATTGGGACTAAACCAGATGAAGATTTTTGGGGTTTATTGTGGAAAGGCAACATCTCAGCATTATAGGAGGGAGGGAGTCTGTGTTATTGTTCACGATTCCAACTACTGTACCATCTGCCAGAGTAAAAACAGGTTTGCAGGAATAAGAAAATAGAAAACAATCATAACTTCCCCTCACAAAATTCCCAATATTTACTTTCTGATATAAAAAACGGGGGCAATATAAATTTCATTTATACTGTACCATTCAAAAGATGCCTTAATAAATGGTAACTACTTGATAGCATTTAAGAAAGATTCTAATTTATGATTCATTATACTTTATTACCATAACAAAGAATAAACAATATTTACCAGCTCCCCTAATAAACTAAAATTCACTAAATTTATATGAAATTTTTTTGAATGCAGTGGACCTAATTTCAGATTCTCTACAATGTCTCTGCTATGGTACTGGTCCCCCCCCCCCCCACAATGCAGTACATAAGTTGGACATAACTGCAACCTTTTTCTGCCAGTTTACATGGGAATATTATTTACTACGAAAATCAAGCTACATGTATTGTACCCATCCTACATTACCACACTGTCCACAGGAGACATTATACTGTACATACCATATGGAGGTCTTTGTTTTCTAGACTTTTTGCCTGAAAGACTTGTTCCTTGCTTAATTACTATAGACTTTTGTTTTCGTACAGGACTGCCACTATCAATAGGTTGAGGGAGAGCTGGTAAGGTTGGTGACTGGGGAGCTGGTAGTTGAAGAATCATCATGGCCACCTGCTCATCTGCAAGTCATGATAACTAATTTTTATGATCAAAGCCACATTAAGATAAGACAAGTGAACCTACACTAAAAACTACTTTTAATATGTTTTTTGTTTTCTTTTCTAACAAGTTTTTGTCTTCTATTTCTTCAGGCTCTTTCCCATTATAATGCAAAGGTCTGAAACATAATCATACATATTCTCTCTCTCTCTATTTACTGATCTGTACAGTATTCACTCTCAGTGCTGAAACATCCCCATCATCCACTAAATGCCATGTTTTCCTCTGTATCTCACCACTGCTTCCTAGACATCCATCTCACTAGTGGTAGGATATACAGCCATAACCTAATTCACCCCATCCTCCATTTCCTGATCTTCCCCTCGCCCTCCTATCATATTGTACCCTTCTTAATTACACATTATTTTTACCATTCAATCACTTTCCTTTCTCTCAGTATATCTATGTCCACATTAACGTTTCCTTCATTTCCACGTTTCCTAATAGTACAGTATTTCTTATTCTCTGTATCATATCACCCAACACACTGCTTGCATCCATGTTCTGTAATATTTTACTATACATAATTAATAGAGTAATATAAGAATACACAGCTTAAGGTACTACTTCGTGTCCATATTATACAGCTTCCTCCTTTGCTATAGGTAGATCCCAATGGACGATGCTTTGGTTTATGAATTTTTAAAATTACAAAAAGTAAAAACTCTGCCATAAGCTTCAGTTTGTAAACAAAAGCCATGAAGTTAAATTTTTTTGTCATCTTTGTACTAATTTCTTTCCCTCTGATACTCAAGTGATTCAGTTCACAATTGTTGCACACAACTACAGGTACTTCCTGATGGCATATGA